ATCAACCATCACGGGGTGGCAGTGATAACAGCAGACACAGAAAGACAAGTTGCAACAGTAGGGATGCGCAAGCGAGAAAAGCAAAGCGACAAAGAACAGTATGTTACAAGTGATGTCTAAATGAGTCTAAATGTCAAGAATGTGGAGTTCATAGGGTGCTACCGTTGTTCATGACAATAGACCAGGGCCCATGTGACGGTACTCACATAGGTCATCTGCTATCGAACTGTTATTACTTGTGTGTTTATTGCGACATACAGATACACATGCAGACTCTATATGTGTGTACATAAACAAGCGCCCAAGCTTGCCTGCATGTTACACCGATTCTCGATTCAAGAACGCCTCATCTGTCAGGTTCACGTATCTTTGGTTTTGAGAGAAGCACAAATCCAAAGAACAGAATCGGACAGAGAGAGAGAGAGAGAGACAAGAAAGAAAGAAACAAAGAAAGAGGAAGAGAGGAAGGACAGAATTGAAGAGCAAGACAGAGAGAGAGAGAGAGAGAGAGAGAGAGAGAGAGAGAGAGAGAGAGAGGGAGAGAGACAGAGAGACAGAGAGACAGAAAGACAGAAAGACAGAGAGATAGAGAAAGACGAAAAAAGACAGAATTGGAGAGCAAGAGAGAGAGAGAGAGAGAGAGAGAGATTTTGGCTCAAGAACGAGTGCTCAAGACGCCAGCCCACTGTCCAGGCGTCCGAACCAGAGGGGAGAGACCGCTGAGAGTGTGACAACCCGACCGTGCCAGGAGTAGCCAGGTCGGACCGCGCAGCCATAAAGCTGACCTACCTGTTTGCTGCTCTACGCGTCATCGAGCGCATCGCTTCACAGGGCGACCTAGGGGGGATCGGTCCAGTACGGTGCCGCTGCGGAGGCGTGCGGGGGACGCTGTCTACCACTTTGTCACCGATATCGCCGGCACTACTCAGGCAGGGGGACCTAGTACCGACCCGGGACACCAACGCCTTCGAGCGTCGACAACTTCACCTCAGAGTTCGTGACTTGGGCATCCCGACCGAGAATGCATACCACACCCATGGACGCAGATGGCCCAGGCGGGGCCAACAAAAGGCGAGCCCCAGAGACGGGGGAAGGACTCAGTTTGGAAGCCATCAGGGAAGTCATCAAGGGGGAGCTCACAGCCAGCACGACCACACTGAAACACGAGATCTCCCAGTCCGTCAACCGTCGCATGGACGCAGTGGAAGAGAGAGTTGGAAGCCAGTTGGAGAAGACTATCGACAAGCTCGCTCAGCTCACAGACGCCCAAGCTCAACAAGGCCAAGCCATAGCTGCCGTCCAGCAGGAACAAAGGGACACCGGGGGGAGACTACAGCAGCTTGAGCAAAAGGTGCAGCACCTGCAGTTGCACGGGGGAAGCTCCACAGCAGACACTGAAGGGGGAGGTAAGCAGCCTGCCCTCATCCTCGGGGGATGGGACGATGACAGCCAAGCCAGCGAAACATTGCAGAAAGCCCGCGACATGATCCAGCAACTCCGCATTGACATCGATATGGACCAAGCCTTCTGCCCCGGGGTCAGACGTGGATACGTCATTGTACCCTACAAGCCCAGGGCAGCCGAGACGGGGGAAGCGCTACGAGACCGACTCCGCCAAGCCCTCAAGCGTGTGAGAACAGCCAACATTGCCATGGGCCGCAAAGCTGACGGGGGAACCAGATACTTGTGGATGCAGCTTTCTCAGTCGCCAGAACGCAGACGTCGAGCACAACTTGCGGGGAAGACAAAAAGGCTCCTCTTGTCTTTGGGAGCCAACCCAGGGGCAGCGGAAGTGGAATGGCCGTCGGGCACCGTCTGGTACTTTGGGACCCGTGTCTGCTCAGCCACTACCAGCCCGACAATGGGGGCAGAAACCGCAGGGGCCGGATGGATCGACCTGCCAGCGATCGCAGCGGGGCTGACCAAAGCCGTGGGGGACGCCTCGGCAGAATGGGGCGACCTCAAGCAAGCCCTCCGCTGAGGGGAGGAACCCACAGGCAGCACAGATGATAGCGACGAGGGGGACAATGACACCCCGCAGTCGCAAGCCTTTCGACCCCTTAAGGGGGAGCACTGTTTTCACATAGCGACCTGGAATGTCGGCGGGCTCAACGTGGAAGCCACGCTGGACCTATTGCGGGCACTCGGGGGAGCGAAACACCTTTGCATGCTACATGCAGTACTGCTGCAAGAAGTGATCACCAAGCCTGGCATTTCTTTCAAGTCAGGGCACGGATGGAAGATAATCCACGGCAAGATCGAGGGAGAGTTCAGAGGAGAGGCGATCGCATACAAACTCAACATAGCAACACACAGCCAATCACGTCTCGTGAAAGGGGGGATCGGCACAGTGCTCCGCTTCAATTCTGGCGAGCGCTGCAAAGCCTTCAGTGGACACATCCCACACCACAGCACCATTGCAGAGACTGAAGCCCTACTACACGACTGGGGGGGGCACACCTGCTCTCTCCACCGCCAAAGCAATCCTGGGGCTAGACGCCAACGAGCAGTTCTACCAACCCACCAACGAGAGTCACCCACACACACACGCACGGGCAGGGGAGAAGCCTTCCTCTCCTGGGGGAGCGCCGTCGGACTTCGACTGCCACCACAAGCAATGCACATCCCCAGCTACTACCCATACAACACAGCGCTTGAGCCACGCAGACTAGACTACCTGCTTCTCAAACAAGGACACAGCCTGCAAATTGGCCCACTGCCAGCCAGGGACATGGCCAGATCAGACCATGAACCCATACTTGGGCAGATCAGAGCCAAGCCCATCAGCAGGCCGAGGCCACACCGACTGGGAGGAGTTCGGCACCTCCACCCACCACCGGGCACCTCCATCCCAGACCACCTACAGGCAACAGCGACACAAGCACCGGGGGACCGACACCACCAGATCGCAGAGCTCTGCAAGGACATCACAAAGCCAGGCAGGGGAGACCAACGGGGCTTTGCCGAGAGCCGCAACCTGAGAGCACTCCGCCGACAAGCCCACAACACGCCACCAGGACCAGAACGGAGAGCAGCCTGGAAGGCGGTCCAGCGACATCTCAAAGCAGAACGCAAGCAACACAGTCAAGAACTCGTTGCCAAGGCAAGCACCAAGGACTGGCCAGCATACCGACAGCACAAACATCTCAGCAACAAGAAGGGGGACTGGATCGCGCTGTTGACAGATGCACACGACTGGCAACAAGCACTGCTCCGTCACTTCGAGGGCATCTTCCGAAAAGCAGACGGGGAAGCTAAATCCCAGGCCTTCGCAGACATGCACCTCAAGCTGTCTTACCACTGCAAGGCCACTCCCTGGCACCCCTTTACCATGGCAGAGCTCCTGATCGTCAGCAGCCGATGGGGGAAGCACAAAAGCACAGGAGTGGATGGGATCGCACATGAGGCACTCCAGCTCCTCATCCACCACCCCGTTTGGGGGGACAGAGTGCTGGCCATGATCAATGAGGCCCTCTACACCGGGAAACTGCCAGCCCTTGTTGAAAGAGGACTCACGATCCTCTTGCCCAAAGGGGGGAAGCCCGCTAACTGGAGCGAGACCAGACCCATCACCCTCAGCAGTGCGGTCCTAAAAGCCCTCGCACAACTATTGCTGCACCGTGGGGGAAGCTGCCTCAATCACCTGTACACCTACCAATGGGCGGCACCACACAAACAGGGGGCGGAACTTATCCTCACATTGAGGAAAGTGGCCCGAATGGGAGCAGACTGGGGAGGTGACTTCTGGATCATTAAACTGGACCTCCAAAAAGCCTTCGACTCCGTGTGCCAGGATAGCTTGGGGGGACTCGTCACCGACGAGGTGGGGCCCACAATGCCCTGGGAGGCCCGTCTGTGGCTGGCCCTACTCGACGCCCGCCGCATCCACATTGCCAACAAACCAATGGGGTCAGACAGGGGTCACCTGACTCTCCAGTGCTCTTCGCCGCGAAGGTGGCCCAGATCCTCGAGCACACCCTGCTCCGCACCCAGAGCCAACACCGCGGGGGGACACCTGCCACCCCCGCCACACCACGGGGGATCGTTTATGGACGATACCTACCTGTGGGGGGAAAACCCCAACCACCTCCAAAACACCCTCCACCTCCTGGAGAAAATCCTCCACAGACACGGACTCAGCATTAATCCCAAGAAGACTCACATCATCAGCAACAACCCCAAAAGCACCGTCACCTTCACAGTGGGGGGACAAACCGTCACTCCAGAAGCCGGGGACACACCATTACGGGTGTTAGGCTCACCTGTCAGCTTCAGGGGCAGCACGCCCCAGCTCATTGCAGAAATGAGCAGCAGAGCCCGTACTGCGTACGCACAAAACAGACGGCTACTCACTGCCGACACACCAGCAGGACCAAGACTACAGCTGCACGACACCCTCGTGCGACAGAGCGCCTTGTGGGGGAGCGAAACGTGGCCAGTCCAAGACAACCTTCTTAAAGCAGCAAACACACAACAACTCACCCAACTCCGCAACATGACGGGGGGGCGCAGAAAGCCAGGTGAGCAGTGGAAGCACTGGAACCAGCGCAGCCTCAGGCAAGCAAGACTGCTACTCCACAGGAGCAAGATCACACGATGGTCTACACACATACTGCGCACCATTTGGCGCCTGTGGGGGCACGTAATCAGGGGAGGCGGCGTCACCAAAGAAATGCTGCTCTGGCGGGGGCTGTCCTTCTGGAGGCAAGAACAAAAGAAAACACCGTCAGAGGGCGCCCGCCACGCAACACGTTTTTGCAGCGCATTAGACACAGAGAGACAGATCGCAGCGATAGGGGGAGAAGACTGGGCCACCAAGGCCTTGAACAGGAAAACATGGCAGGACCTTGAGGCAACCTTGGTCGAAACCTTCGACGTCGAGTGGGCCACAGGAAAGCAACCACAACTAGCACACCTGGCGCCAGGCGGACAACGCAACACTACCAACACCGCCCAGCTTGCCGACACACCCACCCACCCGACACCGACAGAACCATCCACAGCCACACAACACTCCACACTCAGCGACCGCGAATGACCCCACAGCCCAGGGAGAAAGCGAGGAGCAGAGAGAGGAGAGTGTTTTGACATTTGCATGACAGTCCAGACATGTCCTTCAGTTTTGCAATACAGTCACATGTGCAAGCTGCCTGTTGTGTACCGACAAACTGCGGGGGCGCGCTGCCGTTGCAGCTCAGCCCAACCTGCCCGGAGCCCAGCGTGAAGCAACCGCACCATGGCAGGGAAAGCGCTTACAGTGTTAACCCTCCTGATGGGGGCGCTACCGGCGCTCCTGTGGGGAGCACAGAGAGGAGGCCAAGGGCCACCGCCGACACCACAAGGCACGCGGGGGACCAGAATCGGGGACCCACGAGAAGAACAGCAGACGACCGAACCAGCCAACGGAGCAGGGCCACTACCACCGGCAATAGAGCAGGAGAAGGAGCGGGGCGCACGCCCAGAGAGACAACCACCACCCAACGGGACAGGACACCGCCAGGGGGCAGAGGAGGCCTCCCGGGAAGCACGCAGCCAGGACAGGCAAGCCCACAGCGTCCACAACCAGCACAACAAACACCATCACAGCAGCCTGCGAGCCATCAGCAGACCACAGCCCAAAGACCCCAACAACCGCCACAGCCACCCACGTACCATCCTCCACAGACATCCACAGCAGTCGCCCACGACTACGACCCGTGGCACGTCAACGACTCCGAGCCACAGCCACCACCGCAACCACAAGGGCGACACGCCCACAGTGTCACAACCACCACCACAAGGACAACAGGTCCACCACTGGCCGCAACAACAACCACTGGGACCGCAAGCTCACAGCGGACAACAACCGCAGCAATCCTCCACACACCACCACAGACCCAGTAAAGCCCACTATGCACCACCGTGGGAAGCAGCCACCGACCCGTGGCATGAAGCAGGGGAACTCGCCCCAGAAGAACAAGTCGGAGGATACCCAGGCATGTCACAGCAACAGCCGAGCATCCCCAAGCTGCAACTCCCCACCAGAGGGGGAACACCACAGCCACAACCCGACCCGCAGCAACCGCCACCACAACCACAACCACTTCGACCCACACATCCCACAGGTGCGACACAGCTGCCTGTCAAGACAGCCAACAGATTTACCAGCTCCACAGCACACCGAGATGCCAGAAGAGAAGCAGAAAGAGCCGCAGCGAGGGCAAGAGCCCTAGAGGAAGAAGCCGCAGAGCAACATCCACAGCCACAGATCCCACCACAAGCCAGGACCGACCCACAAATCACAGCAACGGGGGGAACGCCTCCACACACAACCCCGCAGGCTCAAGCGGGACAACAAGCACAGACAGGCACAGAGCAACCACCGCAACCCAAGCCACGACCACCACAACCACCGAGTGATTCCACCGACCACGACAGCAGCCCCACAGTTGACAGCACGGACGCACAAGGAGGGGACGTACCTCCTGGACTTACCGTCCGTGAAGCCTACCTCTATGCCACAACGGGGCAGCTGCCAACTGACCTGGAGGAAAGACTCGCGGAAGACGCAGAAGAAGAGGCTCCCAACGAACCACAGACACGACGCCGCACACCAGCACGAGCCAACCAAAACAAACATGAGGGCGGGGGCGAACAACGCACCCGAAACAAAAGAGAAAAAGCAGCCCTCAAAGCCTGGCTCCGCAAGCATGGATTCAAATGGGGCTGGAATGACACAAGCACCAGACGCAGCTCCCAGGGCCCAAGGGGGAGAACGACACAAGCAAGAGCACCACAACAACAACCGGCAGCGGCAGACCCCAAAAGCAGGCCCCAAAGGCCTTATGTATCCCCGGAAGAATCGGCCAGACTCGCAGACATTCTCAACCGCCACCTGCTTCCACGACCCACACCCACGCCCACCGTGCCCACAGATCAACCACAACAACCACCAGCCCACCAACCGGCTCAAGCTGGGCCCTCCACAGCCACAGCAACAGCCACGGCAACCACCGACCGCCAACCACCACCACACGTCCCGGCGCAGACTGACAACCCAACCATACCAGCAGGCAACACCAAGCAAGACAGTCAAGCAGCCGCCGACCACAAGGAGCGACTACAGAACAACCCCTACCTACAGCCTGCAAACACCAACCGTGCCAAGGCAACAGAGCCACCGCGACAACAGCCACCACAACCACCACGAGGTGACGACCCCCAACGGAGCACCGGGGGGGAACAAGCACCACCACAAGGGGGGATCACCCCAGACGGGGAGGCGGCCCACTTCCAACACCTCGATGACCAGGCAAACCGCGAGAGCTATATCAAACGCCGCGGTCCGCCACAGTTACCACACAAAGCCAGGACCGACATGCTGTGGGTCTCAGTCGGAAGAGGCAAGTGGGTAGCGCGTGTAGAAGCCAGGCCGGGGGGAGCAAATCCAACCAAACCCAGCGCAGAACCCCAACGGGGGATGCTCCCCGGCGGCCAAGAGCTTTGGACTGCACCGCACTTTGGGGATGGAACCATCCTCGAAGTGGAAACCACCATGGGTCACGCATACCTTATCACAATCCTCAGCGTGCCAGCAGAACATAGACAGGAGGGGGGGACACTTATTACCGAGCCAGGGGCAGCTTACATGCTCGAACAGATCCAAGACGTATGGATGCTGAGACCAGCAGGGGGACCCCGACACCCACCACCAAGGGGATACCGACCTCCACCCAAAGGTCAACAGACCCACCACCCAAGCAAAGCACACAACAGCCGCCACCAACGCCGAAGCGCAACAGCGGGGGAGCCATAGCCAAAGCCACGCCTAGTGTGGCGCAAAGCAGCAGCGGAGGAGGACACGGAGAAAAGGCCACAGCCGACAGCCAACATTCCAAAGCCACGGCCAACACGGCACCAAGCAGTAGCGGGAGAGACCCCAGAGGAAAGGCCACACCTAACAGCCACCAGACCCACACAGCCGGAGCCACTGCCACAGCCAACCCCATTCACAGCAACAGCGGGGGAGAACCCACAGGCAAGGCCAAGACAAACAACCACCAAGCAACACAGGGCAGCAGCTCCAACCACCCACCGCACCACACAGCCACGGCCCAAGCCACACCAACCCCACAGCAAGCAACACCAGCGAATCAACAGCCACTACACCCAGATTTCCGCGACAGCAGAACCCTTCGAGGACAGACCAGAGAAGACCCACCACAACCACCACAACGACACTTCTTCGAAGTGATCAGAGATACCAGGAACATCGGGGGCGATAAGCCGCGACAAGAGCCAGACAACACCGAGCTATGGCAACGACCACCACAGACCACCACTACTACCACCACAACCAGCACCACCCCCAACCACTGCCACATCAACTCCAGCGAGCTTGCAGGCTCCACAACCGACGAAGGGAATGTCGGACTAACACGCAGACGGAGGAGAGACGAACGCCACGTGGGCAAAAGCCGCAGCCGCAGCCGCAACAGGCCAAAACAACAACCACCACCACCACCACCCCAACAACAACCACAACAACCCGCACGCAGTTCCACCGAAACACCAGCACATGCAAGCACAATCGCAGCACTAAGAGGGGGCATCCAAGCAACTGTTGCACAGATACAACTCATACATGAAGTGGCAAGCAACATGCAGGGGGCAGAGAGCATGGTCATCACCAATATATGCGCCAACGCACTTAGAATGCTCAGCGAAAGCAGCGCAACAGCCAGCACCACACACAGACTTACACTACCCACAGCCGTGGGGGAAGCATACAGAAGTGCCACAAGCATGAGAGTGCGAAGGGGAGACAGCCTCACGGCGGAAGAGTTCGCCACGGACATAAGTGTCCTCCGCAGCATGGTGGAACAAGGCCAAAGAGAGCTCCAGGGGGAAAAGCCAGAGCGTAGCAGCCATGCATGGGACCGAGCTTCGGCGAGGCTACAACGAGCATATGATATGCTCGATGGAGTCATCCTCCGCGCTTTGGGGGGAGACCGTGCGTGGAGTGACCTCCGATGGTGGGACACGCTCCTCGACCACCTCGCGCCGGCCACCCTGCTGCTAGAAGAAGAGGAAAAGAAGGGGGAAGCGCACCCAGCGGACGTCATCAACCTGGCAAGGGGGAACAAAGAATGGACCTCAAGAACCAGTACCACCATGTCGGCAACAATGCGCCTGCTCGAAGCCGCCGCGGAGCTCAGAGAGGCAGCGGCCTTTATGAGGGATGGCGACCTGGCACCGGTACTTGCCATCCTACACGCCTTGGAGAACTGGCAACAGTCCCTGTTCGGGGGAATGCCGGCGGTCAACGAAGAAACCCAGACAGCCATGGCAGAGGCAGAAAACGAGGGGGAGACCAACGGGGAAGCTACAGGCCAGAGCAGGCCAACCAAGAGGCGATGGATTGGCCTTCATGGGGTGGACTACGACGAGATCGCCGCCCTCGAAACCGACAGCTTCCTGGCGGACCTCAATGAAGTGGAGATGCTCCCCACACTGCCGCTAAACGGGGAAATACCCGAGAGCCAACAAGCAACGCTGCCATGGATGCCACCAACGGCGCTGCCGATGATGCCAATGGGGGAACCTGCTACCGACGCGAGAAACAGTGAGGGGGACGAAGAATCGGACCTCAGCGCTGCAAGCCACCGCCGTAGACGACTCCTTGCAGCCTTCTATGACAGACACGGGCCGATCTAGACCTAAGCGTACTCCTGTCCTCAAGCCAACTGTCATAGAAGAGCCACCCAGCGGGGGAACAAACTTCCTACCAATACTTGCTGCAACGCCCTCCCCCGCTGAGTTGCAAAGTCACCACAGAGGTTGTCCTGACTACGCCTGCATAAAACCTGCTGTGAGAGGGGGAGACACCAACATAGTTGTCAATCATGGTCCTGCAAACTAGGCCCTACGCTGTTGTGCAACATGCCTCCCAACCTCACTCTACAATAGCCTCTTCTACTCGACCAGGCAAGGCAATTGGGGGAAAAGTGTTCTCTATATTCCGCAAGCTGTCTGCACAGTATACCCCAAGCACTTCCCGAAACGTACTGGTCTTAGCTGTTGTTGCTTGTTGTACCGGGGAAGTGCTGCCAGCCGTAGGTTGCTACCTGGGGGATTCGCCTGTCGCAGGGACTTAGGACAGTGCTACAGAGAGCGCGGGGACGAGGCCGGGAGGCACGATAAAGTAAAGGGTCAGGGAGGTTTACCGACAGGCGAACTCCACACGTTACAACGACCACCGGGGAAACAATCCCCAAGCACTGCTGCCCCAAAGCCCTTTTCCACCGAAGATGGGGGAAGGGGGACGCCTAGGCGCGGGCTCCTTGGAGCTCGACCCCAGTGAAGTGAAGTGAAGTGAAGAGAGAGAGAAAGAGAAAGAGAAAGAGGCACAGAAATGAAAGAATAAAACAGACAGGAAAAAGAACGCTTCAGAGAAAGCTAATCAGAGAGAGAAACAAGGAGAGAGAGAGAGAGAGCGAGAGTTCTAACCTCAAGTAAAGCAAGAGAGAGAGAGAGAGAGAGAGAGAGAGAGAGAGAGATAGAGAGAGAGAGAGAGATTGCACGTGTCTGTGGAGAGCATACGACCATCAGGCCTTCGATATCGTACATTATAGGACATGAGTCAGATGATGGGATATGCTCGTTTTTCACGCCCCGTAGTCCCGAAAACACATCGGGTGGGCAAGATGCCCGGGGGCCCTGACCGGTCCCTATGCCCGAGTGTGAGAGAGAGAGAGAGAGAGAGTCAGCGAGGTAATCATCTTGTGTTACTAGATATGGCATATTGGAACACAGACACAGTGCCCCGAAAACTGCCAGAAAGTGCCACAAAGGATGCGAATCCCTGTGAACTCCATTCCAACTCATCACTTCTGTTGAACGGGGGGAAACATCCTGCTTTCACACTCCCCCAAAGCCTCCATGAACATCGGGGGGCCTTGCCGCCAGGGGGTCTCGCACGCCCCTCATGCCCCGGGGAAGAAGTCAGCGAGAGAGAGAGAGAGACAGAGAGAGAGAGAGAGAGAGAGTGTAGGGGGTAAAGCCCCTACACCACAGCCCTGGTGAAAGAAAAGAGAGAGAGTGAGAGTGAGAGTGAGAGAGAGAGAGAGAGAGAGAGACAGAGTGAGAGGGAGAAGGAGAGGGAGTGCGAGTGCGAGAGAGCGAGAGCGAGACATGGACTGACCAATCCCGTGGAAGTTGGCGTGCCACCCTGCGGCCGGGAAAGTTGGCCTTCACCCGTCCGGGGAAGTGGGTCAAGTGACTCTCCAGAGCAAGGACGTCGAGCCCAACTCTACACCGACAACCTGAAGCAAGCAGGTCCCAGTCAGCGAAGTGGGATCCACTGCACGCTTCCGGAGCACCATCCTTCGAGAACGAAATGGGCCCGGCCAAACGATGAGTCACAACCGCCACGGCTTCAGGAAACGGGAGGCCAAGCCGCACAACGGAACTGACGTCATCGCCAACCCATACTCCTTCGGGGGTCCTGGCTGGATCCTGGGATACATAATATGAGGCTGAGGGAAGTTGTTCCAACTCTTGAAGTTGCTGGCCTTTCACGGTCCTTCTCAAGTTTGCAGTCACTGCAGAGATTGGTTTAGCAACGTTTTTTTCAAGCTACTTCGGTTTAGAGGCAAGTCGTGACATGGATCCCCTTTGTAGACGGTCCTGGTTCATTATAGGCCCCTCTCACAGCTTCCCGTTTCTTGTCCTGTGGCTGCAGCACATGGCAAGCGCTGGTGCAAGACCACATCGCGACGCGCTCCTTTGGGACATGGATTGTGGGATCACTAAGCCACGCCTCTTCACAGTGTCATTTCAGCAACAACTTTCAAAACCCAGAACAGGTGGCTCCCCCATGAGGGAGAGTGAGTGAGTGAGTGAGTGGGTGTTTGTGTGTGTGCGTGAGTGAGAAGAAAGAGAGAGCATCCTTTCTGCTGCAGCAGTATTGGGAGTGGCTCGGTCGCCATGCTTTTGAGGCCCGGTGGCAACCGCGGCAGCGACGAGCGCCAGCGTGCTGGAGCTTGTGGACGAGTGCAAGGCCGACTTCGGCTGTCACGTAAGACTTTGATGTTGTCGGAATGACGATCTTTGGGAGTTGAGTGGCAATGAAGGCTGGCTGCAAGCCTTTGCACAGCTCTGCCAGTTTGCCTAAGCTTGACTTCCGGCGGCGTTGACCGGCTCTGGCATCTGGCAGCTGACCGGCCAGCACACCGAGTTTGCACAACGAATTCCAAGTAATTGGGCGTGGTGCAAGAATGACATTCATTGAAGCTTCTCCCGGGCCCGAGGATGTGGGATACTGGCTGCTGCTGCATATCGTGCCACAAGATACGCCAAAGCCGCTGAGCTCAGTTGTTGAGGCAATCGCCCGTCGCATCCAGAGTTTGGCAGCAGGGCCCGACCAAGTCTTGTGAGACTGCTATTACCACTACGACGACTGCTGATGCTGCTGCTGCATTCGCTGCTACTACTATACGCTTATGATGACTATTATTGTCATTCTCGCTGCTACTACCGGACTACGTCCGCCTTTCTCTACGACTGCCTACTAATGCTACTTCTACTACTACTACTACTACTACTACTACTACTACTACTACTACTACTACTACTACTACTACTCCTGCTGCTGCTACTACGACAACAACTACTACTGCCACTGCTACCGCTACTGCTAAAGCTACTATGCTACTACTGCCACTGCTGTTGCTACTGCCACTGCCACTACTGCCACTACTGCTACCACGACTACTACCAACAATAATAATAATAACAATACTACCACTACTACTACTACTACTACTACTACTACTACTACTACTACTACTACTGCTACTACTACTTATTATTGTACTTCTACTACTACCACCACCACTACTACCACTACCACTACTACCACTACCAGTACCACTTTTTACTACTACTACTGCTACTACTACCACTACTACTACTACTACTACTACTACTACTACTACTACTACTACTACTACCACTACCACTACCACTACTACTACCACTACTGCAACTACCACTGCCATTATTACGATTTCTACTACTACTACTACTACTACTACTACTATTACTACTACTACGACCACCACTACTACTACCACTACTACTACTACCACTACCACCACTACCACTACCACTACCACTACGACTACTACTACCACTACCACTACCATTACCACTATTATACCACTACCACTACCACCACCACCACCACCACCACCACCACTACTACTACTACTACTGCTGCTACCACTATTACTACTGCTACTACTAGGGTTCCACACCTCGTGGCGCCTGGTGGTTTTGAGTGGTCGAGTGTGTAAAATGCAGGGCTTTTAGTAGTTGTTGGATATTGTTGTTGAGCCAGCTTCAAACGAACTAAATGCTTGGGCTTATGTTGATGATGATGAGGATTATGAGGATGATGATAAGGATGATGATTATGAAGATGATCAGGTTAACCATGATGTTGCAGATGGCGAGGATGATGGTTATGAAGATGATGATGAAGATGGTCAGCTTAATGTTCATGTCACTGCCTTTGGCGATCATGCCCAAAACACTGGTATTTACAGCATTTTTGCTCTTTGCACAACCTGCTGCACAAGGATGTGGAGCAAGACGCTTTGTCACAAGCATCCTACTACTGCTACTGCGTTATTGCTTGCGGTCAGCCATGTCGTTATTAGCCCCCTCCCCCCCCCCGCCCCCCCCCCCGCCCCCCCCCCCGCCCCCCCCCCGCCCCCCCGCCCCCCGCACCCCACCCCGGCACCCTAGCAAAACGCAGAAAAGCAGGGGTTAACGCCAGGCGCCAGGAGGCGCGGTTGGCTACTACTACTGCTACTACTACTACTTCTTCTTCTTGTCCTACCAAGACTACGACTACTTCTACTATTTCTACGACGACTACTACTACCACTACCGCTACGACTCCACGACCACTACGAAGGTTACGACTACTACGATTTCTTGGTCGTTGACAAAGCCATGGTGTATGAGTCTTGCAAAACATCTCGCAGTATGAGGCTCTTTTTCTCTTCGAGGGCCAGCGATACGCAAACTGAAGAGAAGGTTGCTCAACCTACCCTCCTTCACCAGAGGTTGAACCTGGTCACCACATTCTCATTCTCATGTCAAGACTGCTTGGAGACTGCTCAGTAGAGGCCCAGTGCCGCCGAGTCAACGGGCGTCGCTACCGATGCTTGCGGAGGCGGCGAGTTGAATCCAAACCTCATTATCACCTCCTATAAGGAGTCTTGTTCTTTCGGATTTCTGAAAGGATGCCAAGTCGCCGCCCTTCTCCGGAGTGGTATGCGCAGTAGAAGGAAGAAGCAGTGGCTGCATGTGTAATAACATGTCTCAGAGGTCTTGTTGTTGCGCATCCTTGCCGTTGCGCTGCTGTGCGAAAGCACAAGCAGCATCTTCGTTCGAATAGCACCGGATGACAGAGCTGACTTGTAGCGACGAGCCGGATGCTGTTGTGCGCAGCTGGCAGAGAATGCCTTCACTCCAAATTCAAGTTGAAGATGCACCCAGACCCAACCAGGATGGCAGCTGCTGGAATGGATTTGGTTCAACATGTCGCTTCCTTAGCTAGTCTTGCATTGGAGCAGAGCCTTCGTCCTTGTTGGTTCTAGTTTCGACCCAAAGCCTCTTCATGCCAGTGTTGGCTGACAGTAAGCCTACATATCAAGACTGACAAAAACCTCATTGTCTGAGCACAACGAAAGCAACATCAACATCATACGCATGACGCTTGTAAGAAGTTTGACCGTGGGTCCCAGTGCGAATATACATGCAAGAATCATGACCGAGACATCCACTGATAGCACCGATCGATGAGAGCGACGACGATCGGCTTGGAACAGCTTTCCTACAAAAAGAGCCAGATAGTGGTTCCGCATGTCTACCAGCCACTGCTGCGCAGAAGTTTTCAGTGCTGTTTGGTTTCAAGCACTCCAGCCGAGGAGCACTCCGTCGTTTCGGGCTGCCGTGGATGAAAATTTCCGGCTCTTTGTGGTTGTGGATGCCAGGCTGCCGGTTTGCCTAGCCGTCGCGCAAAGCAAGCCTTAGAGGTGGTTGTGCTGTCCTTCTCACCGCGTGTATGCTCACCTTCTCAGAACTTGACCTTGCTCTGTTTCTCCCACATACTTGCTGCTCATACTCCTGTTACTATACCGACACTCATACAGTAATGCTACAAGGGCGAAGACGACTACCACTGCTCCTTCTACTGCTGTTGCTGCTACTACAACAACTTTGCTTTGCGGATCGCAAACGCTCAGAAGCGTCCTAGCGTAAGAGGCACGGCGATACAGTTCAGTGCCGGCTTCTCGTGGAAGCGCATTTAGCCCGGATAGAAGATGAAGAATCGCCTTCAGCGAAACCTCCGTCGGAGCACCGGTCCGCAGACCCAAGCATGCTCGAATGTTGGATTCCCCAGCGTACTCACGGCGTACTCAAGCAAAAGCTCATGAAATAAAAGTCGCCCGAGCCGTCAGCCCCAAGCAGCGACTAATGTGGATACAGGTCTATCTGTGATGCCTGTATAGGATCGGCTACTGTACGACATAGACAATGAAAAGCCGATATGTGCATTCACAGAAGAAGGAGTGTCACCTTGGACTCACAGCAGGGTCACCATGTCAGGTCGCTAGCAACTGGCAGCGAGTGCGAACGAGAGTAAGGAGCACAGCAAGTGCCGAACAAGCCGTCGAAGATTGGCCGAAGCGCCTGAAAAACACATCATGACCTTGGTGCAACATCGATGCGGATGAGCAACGAAGGAGCAGCATGCAGCCTGCGAGGCACCATCAGGGCATCAATGCGTACGAAGTGTAATCACTGCTTTTCCACGCACGCCTTTCAGCACCATGCCGGATTAAACCCCAAATGCAGCAGGTGTATACGCTCTCTCATATCAAGCTTGATGGTATGATTTGCTTAATAGCCGATTGCCCGCCCACGGAGTTGTGGCATGCTCAGTGTGTGGTGAGAACCTGGTTGGGATGTCAATCTCGATGAGTCGCCCAACAGGCCCTTCAGGATACAGGGCAATGGTACCTTGTGAATCACACAACCATAAATGACCCCCTTCCCACTTTGAGCACGGGATGATAATGTTTACTACAACAACTACTACTACTGCTACTACTACTGCTACTTCCACTTCCACTACTACCACTTGCACGACTACCACGACCACTACCACCACTGCTGCTATTACTACTACTACTACTACTACTACTACTACTACTACTACTACTACTACTACTACTATTGACTACTACTATTGACTACTACTGACTACTCCTACTGCTACTGCCGCTGTTACTGCTACTGTTCCTAATGCCACTGCCATTGCTACTGCTACTGCCACTGTTACTGCCGCGACTACGACGACTACTACTACTACCACTACCACTACTACTACTACTACTACTACTACTACTACTACTACTACTACTACTGCTACTAACTACTACTACTACTACTACTACTACTACTACTACTACTACTACTACTGCTACTGCTACTGCTACTGCTACTGCTACTGCTACTGCTACTGGTACTGCTACTGCTACTGCTACTGCTACTGCTACTGCTACTGCTACTGCTACTGCTACTACTGCTGCTACTACTACTACTACTACCACTACTAGTACAAGTACTACTTCTACCATTACCTCTACCATTATCACGATTTCCACTACTGCTGCTATCCACTACCACAACAACAACTACTACTACTACTACTGCTACTACTACTACTACTACTCCTACCACTACTCCTCCTCCTCCTCCTCCTCCTCCTCCTCCTGCTCCTCCTGCTCCTGCTGCTGCTGCTGCTGCTGCCAACCTTCAAACAAGTCGATGCCGACAACTGCGACTGCTTCTACTACTACTACTACTGCTGCTACTGCTACTACTTCTCCAGCTACTAATACGACTACGTCAAGATCTCCTTCCACTTCTACTTCTGCTGCTGCCGCTACCACTTCTACTTTTGCTACTGCCTCTGCTACCGCTACTGCTACTGCTACTTCTTCATTTCATTCCAATCGCAGCCGGTCCGGTGCTTCAGTAGCACTAGAACCACATGGGCAAGTTCCGCTACGAATAGCTGCAAACTTGCGACCTGCTCAACTTGTCAAGAGAATGGTGCATCAGTGCACCCTTCACTCGATCAAAAAAGTGCAAAAATCAGATAAGGAGAAAGCGAGGACGTAAAACGTGAGAAAAAGGTCGTAGGGCTATTGACATCGCTACAACCATCTGTTATGGCATCTTGCGTTGTCATTGTGTTTCTGTCCTGCGAACTGCAATGGCCCCAGGAGGGCACACTGAGGACCACGTTCAGCACCCTGTAGTCCTGTGAACTGCACCTTGAAAAACGTGTAGTTCAGTACCCAAGGGAGGTCTGGCCGCAGAGCATCGCCAGAACCCAGCTTTCTCGCACATACTAAGCGTGACCTGGAGGGACGTAACGTCAGAATCCAGACCACATCTCGAAGCATACGTGGGGCCGGGACCCAGTGCGGGCCATCCCATCCCAGGGTGGGGTAGGTTGCCGCCGCCGGCTTTCGGTCAGCATTCGGAACAATGCAGCGACTCCGACCACCACTACGCTGCCAGTACCACTACCAGTTTCACTACTACCACGACGACCACGGCTGCTGCCAGTACGACTCGTGCTGCTTCTGCTTCTGCCTCTACCACGATCATTACTTGTAGTACTCATGTCCACCTCCTGTTCTTTTCAACATCCTAAGGATCGGTTGTGTCAGTCGTGCCGACGATGATGTCAATGATCGTTCGTCTTTGGTGATGGCAATGTGATGTTAATGGGGTCATTGAGCCACAAAACCATCACCACCACACTCATCAGTCTCGCGGCTATCATGATGGTGAGTACAACAGTCGAACTGGGAAGGCAACCGCAGCTGATCCCGGATTGGATCTTCCGCTCTAGCTGCGACGCCATTTGCGTTTTCGACAGCCAGACAGGCCAAGGGAGAGGGCAGGAATCGAAGGTGTTGGTTCCGACTTAAGGGCGTTAGGCAGACTTGCAGTGGAAGCTTGATGCTGGCGAGGGGGACCTTTAATGCACGAGCCGCAGCTTCCAACTGCATCCACGACGACCATCACAGCAGTCGCGACACGCACTACTCCTACATTCAACGTCATGCCGTGACGGTCACCACCTCGATTGCGCCAACTTACTGCTGCCGCTGCGACTGCAACTCTTGTCATTGACGCTACCAAACGAGGGGTACAAGTGTGAGAGACGTTTGAACCGGAAAAGCCGCTAATCCTTCCTTCGACTTGGATTTACGTGCCATGCAGCTGCCAGCGAACGAAAAACCAAAGACGCGAAAACCGAAGCTCCCGGGCGGCCGGGCGGCCCGGTGCTGTCACGCAGGCCTCTCCCTGCGCCCCTGGCTGGAGCTTTCTCTCAACTCGCTACGCAGGCCTGAGGCATTCTGATGCAATCTTGTCCCCTGCGGCAGTTCAGGGTACTCCACCGCAAAAAGGCTTGTTCAAGCCGTTGAGATGCTTTGCAGAGTTTAGGGTTTGCATGTGGGTTCGACTACTACCCGGATCCTTTTTACAACACCCATAGCATGGTTCCTTAAAGATCCACTGGGCAGCCAACGCTGGGTAGCTTATCGTGACAGCAAGACAGGAAGACTGCATATCATAAATCATAAACTAGGATCCTATCCGGAGCTGGGTAAATCAACTGACAGAGTTTTCAGCATCTCTGTTCCATGTACTGTCGCCATTATCTGCATAGGACATGTGGTCTAGGGAGACTCCTTTAGGAAGAGGGTTCGCAAATCAGAAACAAGAACGAAACAAGAAAAAGCAGGTAAACTGAAGGGGGGCCGGGCGGGGGTTGGGAAATGAACGCAAAAAGCGGGTGGGTCCAAACTTTCGGATTGCAGGGAAGAGGATTCGGTGGAGGGTACTGAAGCTAACCCACCGGCTCATGCGCTGTCTCTTGAGCCCTGCGTTTATTCCTGCAACTGTTGCTCTGATTTTTCGACTTTGCAGGTGCTTGCAGGGATCCTCAGAGCTCTCAGCTTCCCAGGAAGACACCCCTGATGCCGGAGATCTCCACACAGGCGACGACACCAACGAACAGCAAGGCCCAGTTTCCGGGTCGGGGTTTTGGCTTTCATTGTTCAATTCGTTGAAGGGTTTCAGGAATTTTCAGGGTTTCAGGGTTCGAGGGTCCTGGCTTCGATCAGCGAAGACCAGGTAGCATCTTCAAAAAAACTTTAAGGCAAGTCCAAGAGCTTGTGGTCGACGTTGGCAGACCACCAGTCTGTGTGCAGGATTTGAGCACGGTTGAGGGTTGCGGTCCTTGCATCCGCTATGTTTCGTGGAGACTGTCGCTGCTGCTATCATTGATATGCTTAGTAGCAGCAATTATGCCTCGTTAGTAGCAATTATGCATCGTTGCTTCCGAAATCGCGGAGTTCGTGCTTGGAAGTTCGTTGCTTTGCTCCGTGCTGTCGATATGATCCCATTTTGGAAGCCGCAGCTCTTATTGGTTGGTGCTCCCTTGAGTCACTACCTCTGGTGCTGGCAGGCGCTTCCCTGTTCTCCATGATTAGCTTCGTCACGGTATGCTGATGTCGTACCTATTGTTTGCAAGTACTGTCGTGGTAATTGAACAGTTGTGCCATTGCTTTTACGACTCGTGCTGGTGCCCGTACTGCGAGCACTACTACTGACTACTGCCCGTAGTAGGAAGCGTGGAGGAGAGGAGGAAGAGCAAGAGGTTGAGGAGCAGAACGGGATGGTAGAAGCCGTGAGGTCAAACTTTCTGAGTCATGTTATCTGTTGGCAGCAGCCAGGATGGTGCGTTTGGATCCTGTAGGCACATGAAGGAATAACAGCATGCACAAGTAGGACTTCCGGACGAGCATCTTCCAAGCAAATCAACTCGGGCAAGAGCAACATGCCACAGACAACCTGCATTCGGATCTGCATTGTGAAATTGACCACTGATGCATGTTTGTTCCAAGAAGCGAGGTGCGTTGTGAAAGCCTTTAAGCCAACGACAGTCAAGCACTCAGCAAGCGGGACACCTAGCAGGTCCTAGCATCCCAATGAGTCCTGTGAACTGAAGGCCCATGATTGCAGCTATTCCTTCGCACCGAGCAGGTTTCCTGATCACGTCTGAGTCTAGAATCTGCCATTGCATGGCCGCAAGCACCACTGGCACAGGGCAAGTACGACCTCCTTGGTGGCTACAAAAGCTTGCAGGCTCCTTCTCGTGCTCCTCAAACAAGCTTCGGGGACCCATGTCGATGCGACGACATGACTTGAAAAAGCGTCGCGCGCTGTCGCCACAATTTCTCAAAACCTTCGTAGAGTCTTCGCCGATCGCCAGGATGCTGCCAGCAACAGTCGCCTCGCGGCGCAGGCCGTGCTCGTCGGCTGTAACCTCACATTGACATGGCTTGTTTTTCGTTGCGGAGTTAGACGTGTACTGTATACTTCGTGTCAGTCTTCTCACTATTTGATGTCGGATTTTCCGTGCATGCATCTCTTAGGGCAGGCCAGCTGACCAGGTCGTTGCTGTCCTTGGGGGTTCTGTCTCGTCACCACCTTTTTGCATCAGTGCTACGTGTTAGCATTGTCTAACGGGGTGCGAATTTTGTGGACGTGGTCGAGGGTCGGGTCGCGCGGCCAGGGGCGAATGGCGAGAATTACATCCAGCACAGTGCTCTTCAGCTGCCCAGCTGGTTTAATCAGTGGTTTCTCCTCAAGCTCTGCTTGCAAAGCTCACGAGAGTGATAGGAAAGGCACGAGGCTTCTGCAAGGAAGCTTCGGGAAGGCTCCAAGGCGGGCATCTCCACGCAAACTCTCTCCTCGGGCCCAGGCCGACTCACGCAGCCCAGCTTCGTCCCTCGGACACGATTCGAGGGAGCAGCTCACGCGGAGAGCAGCCCCAAACAACATCCGATCCCCCAAAGATTCGTAGGCTTCATCCGAAGAAGGGAAGAAGGAGATGTGAAAGCTGTGAGCGATTCCGGCCCTGAGCCACGGACTTTAAGATCATTTTTCTCAGTGGATTTGTGCGAGGTTAAGTAGCCGTCAGTTGAGGAATTCTCCCGAGTGATCGAGCCAAACTGTAACCTCTGGCATAACAAGAGAAAACAAGGATGTCGGGCTCGGATGGCTACTAGTAGTGCAGCTGACAATCAGTAAAAAGCAGTTATCTGCCGTCGTCGTACACAGTACTTACCAGCAACAGGCCAGCAAGCAGAAGAGCAGCGACGAAGCTCATGTCAGTCGCCACGGTACGGCGGCTTTAGTAGGCGATTCTCCTCTGGGACCGGAATGACACCCCACTTGCGTCACAAACCCAAAGCAATAGTAACACGTGTAACCCCCAGCCTACTTCTTCCTGTCCGGATGGTGAGCTCCATCATGATGATCATTCCCGCCATCGCCATAGTCGTCGCAATCATTATTGCCACCAACAACATCTTCTGCAGCACGGAGATTGCCGCCTTGCTTTTTGTGCAGGGTGTGGGCCAAGTATCCGTAGACGATGCGCCCCGCTGCGGCTCCAGGTGTTGAAGCTCGGACTGACGGCCTTGCGCTTGTCGCTGCAATTGGACTCTTGCCCTGCATCCAAGAAATCCAATTCCTAAGAGGACTTCGGCTTTCTGGGCCTACACAATCCATTCTCGGTCACAGCTCTTCCAGACTACCATGACCCATCTCACGTTCTATCCCGGACAAAGGTCTTGGCTGCTGTGGCGGCTTGCGAGCGTGCCACCTGCTTGCCGGCGGCCTGGCTGATGAGAGCGCGACCCATAGGACTGCCTGCCGGCTGGGCCTTCGTGTCTTAACAGGGTGGTGCTTATTCTCGGGAGTGTCGCCGACGATCCCGCAAAAGGCTACCACATTTGTTCAATGACTTCGGTGGATTTGACATGCAGCTTGGCGGTCTCGCCCCTGTCCCAAGAAGTGAAGTTCAATTCCCGGCTCCTCTCCGGATAGCGCGCCGATACCTTGAAAAGCCCAAGCCCCAAGACCGATACGTTCAAAACCTACATCTGTTGCGAGCTTTGTCGTCGGATGTCGGTTTCGGTTGTACTTGACACTGTCAGTTTGGCTATAGCGAGAGAGCAGGTAGCAGGTGAGCCGGTAGTCGTGCCATACCGTTGTGCTGCGACAATCTTGTCTGTGACCTACGAGAGCATGCTCCATTGGGTTGGATACGTGATCAACCAATCGATGCCAATCGATGCTCACCAAGTCATGTCGCGAACCACTGCCCACTCTACTGGAGTCAATGATCGCCACGACGGTTGCCAACGTTATAAAAGTTATTACCAAGTGTTACTACTAGTACCACTGACCCATCCAGTACTCATTTACTATTGCTGTCATTCTTGCCTTACGACTACCGCTGCCACTATCAGTACTTGGACCACTACCGTCCTTCGACACCTCACAAAGCAAATTGACCAGATCCCTGGCAAGGAGGCTTGGATGCCGATTTGGCGGACGAGGCCAGAGAGAGATAGACGGGGCCTGGGTCTCCTGCCTAGGGCCCGGCAGAGGGCAGGTTCGATGCCGCGAACTTCAGGGCATCCGGTGGTCAAGCTGCAAAGCTTCTGCCTTTCGCACTGACGATGCCCGTACCTTGTCTCTCAAAGTCTATATAAGCATGGAAATAGAAATTCAGTATCTGCACAGGAAATATCTGCCACCCGCCCTCAGCTCCAACGGCCAGGTCAAACGACTAGAGTCTCCAAGCTCTTACATAGTCAAAGACCTGCAGGGATCCTTAAAGGACCACTCAATAAATTTCAAGAGTGGCTCCATGCACCAAGACCCTGCTGTTGCGAATGAGTTCGGGCGTGTTTCGGCTTCGACATTCTGAGAACATCCCCTGCAACACCCAACCCTTGCCAAAGCTTCCGAGTCCCTTCAGATTCAGGCACTCCACAGGCTGATCCAGCTACAGGGTTTCGAAGCATCCGCTGCTTGGCTGCGGCAAAATCTTCATCGCCCTGAACTCCGTCGACAGTGCGATGGATGTACTCACCACGAGCATGACGCAGGTCTCCACGCCCCCCACCGCCGGATGTCTTACAGTATCCGTTCAGGTTACCATTCGCTCGGTGGATGTTCTGGAAATCGTGGCGACATTAATCGTGCACCAGGTGGGCAACTCAGGTTCCATGATTTGAACTTTGTAGCTCCGCTGGTACTCAGCCAGGTCTGGTGCGCATTGCGGTTCTCCGTGGCTGCGAGAATTAGTTTCGTGGTTTGTGAGATAATATTATTCTTCCCCGAAGCCTGAGTAGCTTGAGGCATCACGAGTATCTCGCTGTCGATTGTGTCGCAACATCGCTGCCAGGCAGAGGAGGTTGGGCCTCTTTGGGTCGACGTCGGCGGCAACCCAGGCTGTTTTCATTTTCCAGTCGTCAGCAGGCGGAGATGGTTTGGGCATTTCTGGTCGAAGGCAGCTACCATGATCCCAAGGGTCCTCAACGTCCCCGAAGCCGGAACCGCCGCAGCTCGGAGTCTCGCGCAGGTCCAGGAGCCTCGCCAATCTTGTACAACATGCCTCGGCCCAAGCCGATCTGAAGCGTAGTCTTTTCAGAGGTCTTGGTGGCTTAGGCTTTGCATGCATACAGAGGGCGTGCGTGCGTGCGTGTATATATATATATATATATATATATATATATTTGTATTTATATTTATATTTATATTTATATTTATATGTATGTATAACATGCATACATACATATGCATGTTGGTGTACATAGGTATAACGAAGTAAATTTTGTTTGACCTGGAAGAGCCGGTGTTCATCTTTTCCAAGAGGACGGCTGCCTGTCCTATGCCCCGAGCCCGAAAGCTGACTCTCTGCCTGCAGCAGGCTTCGATTCTTTCGGCAGAGCCACTTGTCCCGGCACAGGCCACTGCGTCGTCCATGACCTCGTTTGCTGTTAGAGCCTGCTGTTGATAGTACTGTGCATGCTCTAGCACTACTGGACTTTCCAGTCACAACTTCCTGTTCCATGGGCATGTCGCGAAATGCGCCCACGAAAAGTTGCAGCAGGGCATCCGGTGGACTTGCAAAAAGGAGAAACACAGTCGACATGCCGTGGCAACCCATCGTTTTAGGCTTGAGGAGCTGCTCTAAGCCGCTGAGTGTTTTCCGAGCTTCGGGAAGTCATTTTTCGGTTTTGACGAGAAAGTTGAGCTTTGGGCTGGAGAAGGTCGGCTCCGCACACCCAGAAAGACCCTGAATGCTAAAGCATATTCTGAACCATCTCCGAAGGCAAGACACGACGGGCCCCCCGCCCTCTGCGGACAGCAGCAAGATGAGCCAGTTGAGCAGCTTGGAGGTACGGTTTTCCAGTCACACGTTTCAGCTGTTCATGCGCAGGAGGTATTGCAGGCAAGAGGCTTGTGTCCGACCGACCATCAAGATGTTGGTGACTTGGAGTTCAAACCCGAAGGCTCTTTTCCGCCAGAAGACACAAGTTGTAAGAGCTAAATCTCATTTGCGGAAGTGCAGCCGGCGAGAGGCCTTGATACACAGGTACCCCGCTGCCGAGAATATTGTTTGAAAGGCAGTGTTCCAAAACACGTGATTCTGGCGATGCCTCGCGAATAGTAACATAGAAGCCGCTGAGATGAACTCCCAGCGGAAGAAGCCTTGTTTAGGGACTGCAAATGCGCATGCAGGCTTCCAAGCGAACCAGTACGCAGCGGAACTCCTCGCTGAACGTGCTGAGCGCCGTGGCTTAGCTGAAGAAGCTGTGCTCGGAGCATTTGTCCGCAGAGCTCCGCACTGTCAAACAAACCATGCATGCTTCAACCGCTCTGGAGAGTGGAACCACGCACCCCCTCTGTGACACTGAATACGGTTGGTCAAGTATGGCCGCAAGCTTCATCACAAACTGTCAGCGAAGCACGAGGTCGCATTACATGACAAACAGAAACTGCGGGGCAAGATTTCGTCTTTGCACAGTAGTACTAGCTGTCAAGCCACTGTAGTTCGGTACTTAAGCGACGATTGGCATGCAAATCCTGTCGTGAGCATTCCCTGAAGCATTCGGAGAAAACTGACATACAAACTCGCCCGCGTAACGGACACAGTTCAGGTGCAGTTTTGAACAGCCACGGGTCGTGGCACTCTGCGAAGCGCCTCCACAGATCCAAGACGAGCAAAGTATCTGGCCTCGCGCACTTCCGACATGTGTAATCTATCGCAGGTTGCCAGGAAGTCCAAAAAGCCGGTGGAGGCCCGGTGCCATTCGGGGCCAGAAGGCATTGATTGGGCTTTGTACCAGCAAATCCGGAGTCTCTTTGAAGTTGAAGCAGCACGGGCGTGTCTGAGGTTGCCTCGGGCTCTAGAGGGCTTCGGAACCGCAGGTAGAGGCCATCGTGGACGAGGCGCTCTGGTACCATGACGAGAATTACGAGCGCCTGGGCTTTGCAACGAGAGCCAAGATGCCCTTTACACTGATCTGCTCTTGACAGCTCATTGCACATAAAGCTCCTGCTTTCCTAAGCCTGATCTGCGCAATTGCCGATTTCAGCAAGCGTTCGATCCACACTTTCAGGGCTTCCGAAGGCTCCCTGTGGACGATCTTTGGCCAAGTCGCCGGGGCCTCACACTTCCGTGGCTGCACATGCTCACGTGTACTGGCGAGGCTTCACAGCTACAAGACAGCTATACCTACTTATGTCACGCGATATATGCGTATACATAAGTTTATTGTATATGGTATACATACGAAATAGGTGTGTATGCATGCATACATGCATGCATGCATGCACGGATGTCTGTATGTATGTATATGTATGTATGTATGTATGTATGTATGTATGTATGTGTGTATACATGTACGCGTATGTGTACATGTATATGTATATGTATATGTATGCATACAGCTACATCGATGTATACGTACGTGTACTTACTGATGCATTCATACTTTGTTGTTTGTTGATTTGATTATTCAGTTTTGTGTATGTATGTATGTACATATGCAGGTAGGTGGGTGTGTATGTATGCGCGCATCCGTGTAAGTATCTTTGTATGGATGTACACATCACTATAAATACATCAAATACTTGTTGTTAAGATCTATTTCTATATCCTTTCTTATTATACAAAGGCATATACACGCGGGCATATACATACAGACACATACCTGCATGCATGAATGCATGCATACATAATCTTTACACACAGGCACCTGCGCACGCGCACACACACACACACACACCTGCACCTGCACCTGCACCTACACCTGCACGTACACCTACACCTACCTACTTACTGGTACTTGCAATTCATATTCCCATCGCTTGCGGCCCACAGTTGTTGCTTCGTCTTGGGTTTACGGGTTGTGCTTGGGGTTTACGTCTAGGATTGAGGGATTTACCGCTGGTGCTTCTCGGGGACCGCAGACCCCTCGCGGGAACACCCGCGACTTCAATATCAATCACTCAGGACATTGCGTTTCTAGTCCGGGAAACCCCATACGGTCCTGGGACCTCAGATGGGCAGTTGGAGGCAGCCCACAAGGATCCACAAGGCCCTGAGAAGAGCACGGTGGGTCTACAGGCACCAGAGCCAAAAGCGTGGTCAAGAGGAAACAGCTGACCTCAAACAGAAGGCAAGGAAAACTGACGCCTTGTAGTAAAAATACTCTAACAAATTTCAGACAGGCCGACTTGGTGGACGACTTGCTGAGCAAAGGCCCTCGTCGTTTGGATTTGGGATGATTTGGGCGGGGACGTCAGTACAAAGAGAGCCTACCGGAGCTACCCGGACCTGCCCCCAGCAGAAGAGTCCTCCATAGCCGGAAGCACGTGGTTGCAAGACCCTTCGTGCTTGGGGCAATGGATAAGGGAAGCCTTTCCTCCGCATCATAGTCATTCCCCAATCACGCCTCGTGACCCACAGTGGAAATAGACCCCCGTAGTCACTGCAGCTGATGCTCGATGGCAATTCGTAAAGTCTACCGCGTTGCCCGCTGGCCAGCTCAGCGGAGCAAGTTCCACAAGCATGCGATGCACTGTCACTGCAGTGCTGGTCGAGCTGTTTCAGTCGAAAACACAGCAAAGATTGCAAGTTAACGAACATAGAGACAGAGTCGAGGAGCGGCAGCGCGTGCAGTGAAGCCGAGAAGATCTTCAGACACCAGGTGAGCCGGGGCAGCATCTCCTCAGTGACGAGGCTGATGCCACAGCTGCGGCAGAGATCCTGAAGGCCCCTCTTCGGGGTGGCTGGAATTCTTCCGAGCGCCTTGAAGAGCCGGAGCTACCGAATCAGTGCATGAAAGTGCCTGAAGGTCTAGGTTTTCACAACCCCCGAAAATTTCTTTCAGAACGTACTCTAAAGAATAAAGCACGGCAGCTCTTGCCCCTCGTGGACCACCACTCGACTGTGCGCCTCGCCGGAGCAGCTCCTCAAGTTTTTGCCTTGGCCGTGGGCCCAGCGATGCCCAGCGTCCGGGGCCGACGCCTTACGCATTTGGCTTTGGGGATGTGTAAGAAAGCTTGGAGGTTTGAGGGTCTGGGCCTGGGAGTCTGGGAGTTTCGGATCTGGCTTCAGCCGGTGGAGAGCCAGGGTTTTGCAATCTCTTGACTGTGCAGTCGCAGTATGATCCGTCCTGTCCTCTAGGCCTAGGCCCTAGGCAGACTGCGATTTTTTCAGACACACACTGAACGTAAACACGTACCGCCGAAAGTGAAAGCATTGCGTTCACTGCACCCTCCTTCAAAACTAAACAACAACCTGAATCACTAAAGTTCGCGTTTTGTGTGTGTGTGTGGGGTCCTGCTACGGGCATCCTATTTGGGAAAGGCCAATTGCCATACATACAAAGCAAGCCTCAGGTGCCCAACTTTGAGGAGCAACACTGGAAACTTCACCTAAAAGTTTGAGTGGATGCGCAAGCCCACAATTCCCTTACGAGCCGTCCGCTGCCCGCTGTCCCTTTGACCCAGGCATTGCCCTTCGCTCGCGCACGGCCCGGACAGCTCCGCCTGCCACCGCTGCCGTCGCTCAAGGACTTGACGACTTTTGCCTTCGCCTCCCGGGCCAAGGATTTCAGTCTTGGACTCTCCGCTGTAGAAGGCCGACATGCCATGTAGTCTTTGCCACAGGAGCCCAGCGAAAGGTCTTCTTCCGCTTCCCTGCCGATGATGGGCGAGGAAAACAGCATTGAAGCGCTGTTAGCTGTTAGCCCTGACGTTGAACCTTGTAGCTCCAAGCTATAGAAATGGAAAGCCCAATCCGGAGGCCAAGAATCCTCTGTTGCATAAACCCTGAGCTCCCAAATCTGAAACTGAGTTGTGACTCCGTTTAGTTTTGGTGGCAGCAGGACCTAGGACCTAGAAGTTTCCGAGTTGATGCTGTCAAGCCGAATCATGTCCTGGAAGCACGGAAGCCTACGGCATGTGCAAGAAGATCGGGTGCAACAACGGGACCAAGCCCGGATGGGCGCAGGATGCATCCGTGGCGAGCGAAGAGGTTGATGAGGCGAGCATTTGTTATGCTTGTGAGGACGCAGGAAGAGACCTGGGATAAAGTATCGTAGCCCAGAGGTGTTATGCCATATGCCGGCCTGATAGTCGGACAGGCTCGGATTTTGTGTGCTGATGTTATGTGGTTGGTGCAGTATGGAGGTAGTATGGAGTTTCAATGAGACCACATTGACTACCGTGGCGAGACGCTAGACTCTAGACTATGATGATACTACGTATGTTTCTTGAACTGATGAGATGATTATGACAAGTGGCTACTGTAGTGTGAGCAGTGTGCAGTGCGCCGGCAATTCCGCGCAGCAGGGGATACAAGTATTGCCTTGCTTGGGAGACTCGGGCTTGTCAGCTACCAGCACGGGTTCTGGAACGCCCTCCTTGATTGAGGCACGGCAGTAAATGGACCAAACTGAATTTCGGCTTGGAATGGCCCCGTCTTGAAGTGCAGTCAAAGGGTGGAGGAAGGTGAGGAGGAAGGCCCTCTTTCCCTGTTGGGTCAAGGTCGGAATAGCTGCGTAGCTCGAACTCTGCTCGGGCGCTCCCCGCGAGGTGCAGGATGGCCAGGATGGTGTTGACACCAGCATCACATCGCGCAAGGCGCCCGGGGCAGCGAGTTTAGAGCGAACCCGCTCTACCCATAGGGCCAGAGACTGAGAGGTTCATGTCGCTGGTCTCAGGGAATGAATCGAAAGGTTCTCGGGTTTTGCCACCAGGACTGAGGTATCATTCACATGTGCACGTCGGGAGCACATAGAGCCAGCTTTGGGATTGTTGTAGGACATGTTGCTGCCACAAGCCAATGATATCCAATGATGAGGAAACAGACTTCCAAGCAAGGGTGCGAATCACCACTTCCGTCGCATGTGAGCCTGGAGCCCTAGCACGTCACTGAAGGGATTCCTGCTGTGGACTTGGAGCAAACATCCCGTTGGCTGACGACGTTCTGTAATCCTTTAGCTCCACAGCTGAACTGCATCTTGCCCAGCACAGCGGACCCAAAACTCAACTTCCAGAACCTACTCGTAAAGTCCTGAATCACCCGGGTTACCGAAGCAGCTCAAGAGTTGCCGACAGGTGTCCGGTGTGGAGACGCTTCAGTGCCTGAGCCGTTACTTAAAATGCTTCTTGAGGAACTACCTTCAGGCAAGTGACATGCAGGCGGCCTTCTTTTCTACAGCCCAGTTCCCGTTGCCCTTATCAGGCGAAGACTGCGGTGAGCACGACCATCAAGAATCCCAAGTGTAAACCCATCCAGGTTTCAGATCCCATCGATCGGCGTCGTGCCCAGCAGGACCCCTGGTCTTATGTTGGATTTACAATGTAGAACGGTCTCACGTGGAAGCACTTGCTTGTTTCGGTGCTTGCGCTTGTGTTCGCGGCTTTGCGGGAAAGGCGGGCAAGGGCTCATGTGCTCGTGTTATGTGCAGGAGAACTGGTTTCGGGTAGAGCTCCGCTGCTATTTCTCAGGCATTTTTCCCGGAGAGGCTTGCCTCTGCGGGGGTGCGGTTCTGTTGACAATGGGCCCTTCCTCGGCATCGATCCTTTCGACGTTTTCGACCTGTCCTTAATCGTCTTGGCCCTCCTACTCCTGCCTTTTGGAATTCTACAGGCTTCAGCCTGGGCGAAGCATAAGGTGCCTACGAGTTTCGTCCGCCACCTTGTCCTCGGGGTCGTGCGATGCCAGTGATGACGCTGATATCGGAGATGATGGCGCCGCTTTTGACAGTGAAGGTGACGACGCCGGCGAGGATCTTGATAAAGGTGAAGGGCGCGATGGCCATGACATAACAATGCAGCTGGAAGTTTGACGTTGGCAATGCGACCAGTAAAATAAGTCAGAACCGATGCGCCCTCCGGCACCGTGATCCTGGAACCGGAACCCAACCCCACACGCAAAGCCCCCAGGCCCGTGATCACCTGACCCTCTAAGGTGCTTCCAGCGAAGAATCCGAGGTGGGCCGGGCCATGCCGGTCTCGTTGAAGTTTCAATGATGGAGAGAAAAAAGCACAAACAGATGGGCAGACGACAGACAAATGTCTGTGTGTGAGTGCTTATGTGCATAGATCTCTGTGTGTGTGTATGATGTGTATGTATACACATATACATATAGCATCATATTAATATAACCGGTATATACAGGTGTCGACGCAGATATGGATATAGATCTTATTCTCACGTTCGTTCATTTTTCTGCATAAAGGTGCACATGCATAGATGCATAGAGATACAAGCATAATTATATGCGTGCATGCATACATACACACATGAACGTACATATTACGTACATATGCACATACAGACTACATATGCATGCATTTGCGCAAGCATACGCACATAATTACACCCACACATTTACATGTGAAATAGCTACAAACATGCACTAGCTGTAAAGAGAGAGGAAGCTGCGGCAGAGGGAATGTTATCAGCAATGAAAAGTTGAATAGCCCCAAGCCGGAGACAGCAATTCCTCAATCCCGCATTGGCGACGACAACTCGGATCGAGAATGAATCCTGGAGCAAAGCCGTGAATCCAGAGAGACTTCCAGGACGATGTGGAAGGCGGGCAGAGACACCATTGCGTGTGCTAGAATTTGGGGCTTGCACTAGGGTCCCATGGCTTGGAGTATTCCGCGTTCGCACATCTGTAAAGACTTGGCAACTGGGTTTCTAACGGATATGATTACGGGTGGTACAGATAGCACAAAAGTTCAAGCTTACCATCCAACAAACTGTAGCCCAGGGCCTAGATTGTTCTTCGGAAGGTGTCTTTTGCATGATCTGATTGCTGCAAAGGCTCATCCCAGCACTGATTCGCCATGTCGCTTATCCTTATAGAACGGTTTGCACGAGACCGAAGCCCGGCGAACTTCGAGGCAGTTCCTCGTTTAATTGAGTGAGCATAGGCCGCAGCAACTCGTCACTCTTGACAGGCAGAGACAGCAACAGTAGGAGCACCAGTGAAATGAAGAGTGCTGACACAGGCTTCTTACGACGAGGCCCTTGCAGAATCTTGAGCCGAAACCCTGCTCTAGTCCTCAGGGCTGCTGGCGCAGCATCTCTTCGACATGGAGAGCCAGTCTGCCTCAAAAGAAGGCTTGGTCCATCTGCTGAAGGCCCCACCGCGCCGCTACTTCCGAGGGCTTTGAGACTGCCCTTGTTACTGCTGTCTGTGTCTGCGAAAGTATCGCATGCGCGCTGTGTAAGCAGCAGATGCAGCATATGATATGTATATACATACAATCCATGGTATGTAAAATATGTATATGTAGATGTGTGTATATGTATATGTATGTACATATATATATATATATATAGATGTATATGTCCATGTGCCATATGTATATATGTACTTATATATGCATATACACATATTTCAATGTTGATACATAACAATTTACTTACGCAAATTGCTTAAAGACTCTATTTTGTTTATACACGTACGTATTTGTATGTGTATATATATATATACATTAAAATGCACATGTACATGTGTAATTATGTGTATGTGTATGAATGGATTTATGTACGTATGCGTATCCATACCTATGTATGTGTATGTATATACATACACATACATGTACATATGGATACGTACATACACACATGCATACATGCAGACAGACAGGCAGGCACACAGACAGACACATATTGCGAATGCTTGTATTGTAGGCCTTTGTTTGCACGCATGTGGTGTGCCCGGCACAGAAAGTTGCGCGGATCGTTTGCTCTTGTGTGCAGTACTAACAGTTGCTCACCTGTGCGTGTGTGCATGTATAAGCACCCGCGAACTTAAACATGCAACCTGTTCATCTATTGGAGCATGCTAATCAAAGTCAAAGACGAAAATTTCACTGTCGAGGATTCGGCCGTTAGGCTTGAAGCGAGGGAACAGAAGAAGCTAAAGGCAACATGTACACCTGAGTCCCTATGCCCCCCCGAATGCCTGTAAGCTCTGAACCGTCCGCAGGCCACGATCGTCTGCATCAGCTCCAGCGGATTATGTGAGGAGGCGGAGGAGGAGTGCGGAACCCAGGAAATCCTCCGTGGCATTTCGGGCCAGTGCACCGTCTAGTGAGATGATCCGATGACAGGTGGGTGGCAGCACTTTTCCAGCCTCGCACTGACAGGAGTTATGCATGATATTCGATGAGGAGTCGTCGCAGACCACCGAAGACAGTTGAAGGTTTGCAGTGTAACCAATGGGTGAGGCTAGGGACCGGCACGGCCGTGTCGGTTCTTGATGCAAGACTTGATCCAGGCCTCAGACATAGAAGCGAAATCGCACATGTTCAGTATTTTCCCATGAACGACACCTTGTCCGGGGTCGGCTTCGGAGAAGGTGGCACGACTTCGCGGCGCAGGCAGTATCCTAAAATCTTTGTTGTCGAAGACCGACCGCAAATCTATATCCTTGACGATTCAAGCCTGAAGCCCAGAAGCTTAACCTTGGCATCCTAAAGCCCGCAACTTCCACGACTGCAAAGGGGCCTCACGGGAGCTTAGATCTGATGTACCTTTCGTCTCCCAAAAATGGCCCAGGCCTGTTGGCTCCGAGTCATCTTTGCAGGTGGGCCCCCGACAGCGTTAGCAGCTGTATTATGCCAACTGGACATCCGAGCTGACGGTGCGAATGGCCGCAGCGGCAATGGTAACTAGTGCGTATGCCCAGCAACATCTAGATGATGACGGCAGATGGTGATGGTGATGGTGGATGATCGTGCTGATGATGGTGATGACGGACGAAGCATGTTCACAAGAGTGCTTTTGCTGCTCAGAACATGGCTAGGCTGATGAAAACTGGCAGCAGGTAAAGGAGAAATAAAGTAGCTGCAGCAACCAATTTTAGCAACCGCGGCATTTGTGGTGGTAGCAGCAAGATATTTAGAAGAACACAATGAGCTTAAGACTGGTAAAAGAATATGCTGAGTGAGGAACACAGCGGCCATTCAGACACTAGTAGCTTAGTAGCATGGAGGCTCAGGTCCAGGTCTCGTTGTTTTTCGTGCCAAACTCGTACTAGTAGTCGTAGTCTACGCGAAGTGGATCCTCTATGACTCTATGTTCAATCACGACTCGCGATTTCTCGCTGTCAGGCAGAGTGGCGGCGGCAGCGTCAGGGCATCGCTTCTTGGGCCCGTGGAATTTGCCATGAGGCGAGGTCAACATCTCCGAGACCCCAAAGAATGTTGCCTCCGCTTCGGCGCTGTGACAATCTGTGCTAGGCTGAGGATCTCGTCCGAGGCCTTCGGGAAGGCCTCGATACGTTGAGCCCAGAGCTTGCTCTGAAGCTGAGGCGCTCGCGGCTTGGGCAGGAACTGAGGAGTTCAGAGCTAAGGCGTCTCGGGTTTGGGCTCAGCAGTTCGAAGAGTATTGTGGATGTGGGTGGCTCCGATTGAGACGTTGCTTTTGTCTTGACCGTCTGCCTCAACCGGGTGGGTGTCGATTACGAGTGCGCTGACACTGCATGTCTCTTCTGCTTCTGCGGGAATACTCTTCGAACGAAGGTGACTATTTCTTGACCCAAGCTGAAGATGCGAAACCGTCTCGGCCCGGAATAGCCTCTGGCCCCAAATCCCATCCCACCTTCCTCGCCAGGCACTTGCTCCACATAGCGCAGGTCTGGGCCATGCGTGCCGCACCACAGGCTCGTCAACGCGTGAATGTCCTCCCTGACCATGATTATTCTGGCTGATTGGGCCAGACAGGCCATTGGCTTGCAGTCTGGCATGAGCTTGATGGCATGCTAGAGCCTCTGCTAGAGCCCGAAAAACACGGGTAAAGGGTTGCGTGCAGCTCTCCCCAACTCCTCCTAAATCTACCTTCATCAAAGAGGAGGCTGCCGAGATCTCTCCGCCAACCCCGCACCTCGGGGACTGCCCAGCGGAGGTGAGCGAGAGACATTGGCTTTGGGTGGCGGATGCAACTGAAGATTTCGGTAATGATCCGTTCAGGATACTGTACGTGTGCGTGTTGGCTAAAGGGGTGATCGGCAAATGAGTTGAAACTTGGGCAGGCCAAGTTTAGAGGTGCTGTCGCGAAGCCGATGAGCAGCTGCAGTGTTCCTTCAGAGCGGTTTCATGCCAAGAGCTAGGATGAGCATGTCTTGGCAGGTATGGCACGTGGCGAAGTCGCCACTCGCTCTCTCCACCCCAGTTCCTGACGGCTGGCAACCGCCAGATTACCTGGAAGAGGCCTGTTCTCAGCTTCACACGGGCACACGAGCGGCCCACGCCGCCACGCCTCCACGTGCCAAGGCGAGCTTCGGAGCCTGGCTCGGTCGCCTCGCGCAGCGCCTGCACCAGGCCGCTGGGTTGGAAGTGCGAGCACTGGGGTGCCTGCCCTGCTTTTCCCGCGGAGCGCAGATCGGATCGCAGGTTTACTTGCCCAGAGACGTGCCGAAGCGCCTGCACGTCGCAGATCTTGGACAGGCGCGCAGTGGTTCGAGGCTAAAGCTGCTCTATATGGCTAGCAGGCGGCACGAAGTTTCCGGTGTTTGATCTTGCCACTGAAGGGCCGGCCTTGAGGTGGGGGGAAGGTCTGCCAGTTGTGATATGAACAGAAAGTGTCCCGGCCGCACGATGCATGGAACAACTGCTGAACTTGACCTGGAAAGGCTTGAGATAAGAAATATGTGAGTGACAGACAAGCAAGTCTTGAAAAGGTTTGGTGTCAGACATGGGGTTTAAGCCGCCCCCGTGTTGCGCGCGTGCCTCACCACACGGCCAAGCCTCGGCGCAATTCTGCCCTTGATACGCAAGCAGTGCTTGCTTAGCGAGACGCCCGTTGTCACCGACGCAAAAAGTGCATCCTTTGATTTCACAGGCAACTCAAGGGATTGCGCATTCAAGAATAGGGTTAGTATCTTGTAAAGTTTACAGGAACACAGGCTGTGATGCATCCATTCAGAACTGTTCGTCGAGACAGCCAGGCGTTTTTGGGCGCAACGCTCTTGTTCGCTCGTCTTAATTACGCGTGGGCACTGGATCGCATTGTCGGCTGTTGACAGCTTGGCCGACGATGTTACCAATGTGCTGCGGCGCAGGCAGAGGAGGAAGGTCACTCATCAGGATGCTGCGGCAAAGGCAACAGCCATGCGGTGTCTGTGGAAAAGGCGTAGGGACAGGAGGTGATTCAGACGGAGGCGTTTAATACCCGAGTGCCCGCCCACCTACGAGGAGCTGGAATTGTCGGCCAGCAGTTTCTCGAGGACAAATCGAAAGATCCGGACCCAAGCTTCGTTGCGCTCATCAAGACATATCAAGGTCAGAGTCTTCTTAAGGAAAGCCCAGCACGATAAGACTAGGAAGCTGCTGTGGAGTGACAGAGGAGGCGGCACAGTTGCGGAACTCCTGCAAACTGCAATCCAGTGACCAAAGCAGCGGTGGCACATCAAAGAGGGAAGTCTTCTCCTCATGGTGAAGGGCCGCTGTGTCGGATACGGTCCAGAAGGCTTTCCGCCCGGTCACTTCAGGAGGTTCATGGCAAGCATGATTGTTTGAAACGGATTCCTTGGCCGATTCTGTCATGGGATGCCGACGAGAAGGCCGGCGGCTCCACACCAGATACTTTATCCTGGGCTTCTACATAGACGAATGGCCTCACGGATGAATTGAAGTAATGCTGTTACGGCTATCATCGCAACAGTGATGCTGAAGAAGATTGAGATGAACCCCAGCAAGAGGACCGAGCAAGTGATGGGTTGCAAATTGAACTACCATTTCGAGATGTCAGCTCTCGAAACACGTGCTGCTGCATGTCAGCAGTGTCAACAAACAGCTGGTTTTCGTTTGCGACCCATGCTTGAAAGATAGCTTCAACCTGAATTCAGTCTTTGTGCCATTGTCGACACCGTCGTCGAGAACAGCCAAGTCGAATTGCACACGGCTGTTTGCAGAGTCCTTCGGCTGCTGAGCTGAAGACGCCTATTTGCCTACTGTAGGAGGTTGTTCAGGAAGCTTGCAGTCTGGTCTCTGCAAGTGCGCCTGACCCATTCCAGACAATGGAATGGTGTCGGCCTTACGGATACTGGATCTTACATGGATGCAGCATGCTCTTGCCTGTAATTCGCAGTGACTCAGAAGCTGTAGCGAATGCATCAAGAAGCAACCTCGTGGAGGTCACGAAGACAGCAGAATCAAGTCCCAGAGTGCAGGCAGTGTTCAGCTTAAGTCTTTGGAGGTGGCCCCGATGCTGTTGGCCCTACGCTTGGACTTCGCGGCACAACGGCGGTGCCTCGCCGAGCAGACCTGCCAAGAGCCCAGTGCTTTGGGGTGGGGCCGGGGCCGTCCAAGGACCAGACCTTCCCTCGTTCAGGCTTTCGATGTTACAGGGACGATGTCTGCAGGACAATCTTTTCCTAATGCTTCCGGGATTTCATTAAACTGCAACTCGCCTTGTCGAACCATCATGTCCAAGATATCTTCAACCCACCACCAGTGAGTGTGCTTCGAGTGCATTATGCTGGACTGCTAGACCCACTTCTGGGATGGAGCACGTTTTGCAAAAGACCTGCAGATTACACTTTCTAGTACTGCCGTCATACGCACAAAATGCTTTGATGCTACTCCTATTTTTTATGCCGTCAAGAATGCGACGGACGACGACGCATGCAGGGTTCCGTTTTTTACCAGCAGTATCCTTGTCGTTCTGCTCAGCCTATTGGCCTGTCAAGGTCTTGTTTTCCTCCCGGTCGGACAGGCGCGCAGCACATGCTCCAAGTAGCCAAAAGCAACTGGTGAAGTGGTGGTAACCTCATCAAGAGTCGTAACCTAGTCTTCAAATTCGCTCCCGGGATTCACGCAGCTCAAGCTCGTGTCGCACAAGCAGCTGAAGCAAAACAAGAAACAAGGACGAAGGCAACACAAAACAAGAGCCAGGTCAAGAGCTGAAGGCGAAAGCGTAAAAAAGTCACTGCATGAGTCTCTGCAGTGCAACGTTGAAGTTCAACGGTTTCCAATGGAAGTGCCATCGAAGCTTCTCAATCCGTGTTCCCGAGCCTTTTTGGACTCGACGTTTTAGGGTTCCCCAGCTGAGATGACGATGTTCAGGGTTCGGGCTGATCGGACTAAGCTTTTTTTCCGGCTGCGCAGGTATTAGAGTGCAGTGTTGCTCGATTGTTGCGAGCCTGCTGGGGCGGCCCATTCAGATTTTCAGGCAGAACTCCACTCAGGCGCATGCTGACCGCAATCCAGCAACGCATGATCAGTCGAAAGATCGCCCAGATCGTTCTCGGACTTTTGAGGTGTTGCAGAAGAGTTCCCTAGAGCAACAGCGAGGCAACTCCGTGTCTGACCCTTAAGCCAATCCTAGAGCTGAGCTAAAGCCTATGCGATTCTTGGGTTCTTCCAGACTCCTAGGCCCTAGACATTCGTGAGACTCAATCGAGCTTCAACCTCGAGGCCACGCCCAAAATCTGATCAAAGCTTCGACCCGAGAGGACAAAGAGGAGGCGCCAAGCTCGTGCAGAGCTTACCGGATCCATTTTTCAGAGCTTTCATGAGCTTTCAAGGATTCAGGGAAGGAGCAACGGTAGTAGAAGCGTGCCATAGCTGGCATCGCGTTTAGATTGAGGGTCGGGAAATCGGGGCGCCACCCAGCCTGGGCGATTCATGTCGAAGCTGTCTGCCCGAGGCCTAAATCTGATGTGCTCAAAGGGGAGAAATGCGCGCGGCACTCAGACAAGGTTGCATTGCTGCAATGCCGCAAACCGGATGTCTCGGCAGATTCTTTTGGGAATTAGAGGTCGCCTTCGTGCATCAACCCCATTGCATGTGCCCCTCTTGTGTGGAATGATTTCGCATGCTTGTTGCAGGAATCCTAAGCTCGTGAACCTCTAAATTCCTGTGTCGAAGGTGTGTCTGTGCTGTTCTTTCGCTAGAATTGGGGGCTGGCGGGCGCCGGAATAGGCTTCTGGCCATGTCTGTCTGAGCTGCAGACATGGTAGTTTCGAGGGACCCAGTTTCTACATGACATCATGTAGTCGCAGTTGCCTGCCCACCTTCGGCTGAGGTCGTGGAGGCAGCAGATGCGGGAGGGTGTGGAGCTGTCTTTCCAACGGCAACCTGCAGTTTTGGTGCTTAGCAAAGCCCTCGTTCTGAGGTGTTTACCGCCGACCTAGGGATGCAGCACAAGCACCATGGGATGCCCCCAGTCCCTTTCAGGGCATCTTGGGTTCCTCGGTATATCGAACCGTCGAACTGAGCAGGGCCGTTTCGGAGCTTTCTCCTCGTGTCCGGGACATCCTTTTCAGGGTAGGAGCTTGAACAGACTGAAATAGAGCCCTTCGAAAGAGTCAAGTCAATCTCGAGCACATCCCCAGCAACATCCTGACAAGGCAGCTGTCTGTGATGCCATGGAACGAAACGGTTCACCAGGAACTTGGGAAGGCTACATTCGGATACCGCCTTTCGCAGGGAGTCGTTGACTGGGCTCGGCAACAGTAGCTGTACAACGAGGGTTGTGTATGTTGCAAATGAGGCAATATGTCCGGGCACACTTGCAACGGTCGAAACGACAAGACCAGGACGGTTGAACATGCTGATCAAGACTCTCATCAACCTCACCACAGTGTTTGTAAGCATCGCATAAGCAGAATACTCTAGCAACAGTAGCTGTACAACGAGGGTTGTGTATGTTGCAAATGAGGCAATATGTCCGGGCACACTTGCAACGGTCGAAACGACAAGACCAGGACGGTTGAACATGCTGATCAAGACTCTCATCAACCTCACCACAGTGTTTGTAAGCATCGCATAAGCAGAATACTCTAGCAATCTTGGTTGGACTTGCTGCATCAGGATTTCACGACCTGGGATGAGCTTGCGGGGGCCCTTGCCGGGCGACATCGGGACAGCAGTTGCACATCAGGGGGTCAGCGCAGTAGAAGGCAGATAGAGCGAAAGACATGAACAGCAGAAAAGACAGAAGGGAAGAAGCAGAACGACGTAATATGTTTTGTTGCACACATTCAGTTTGATTCCGTCTAGCAAATTATCGTCACTCCCCCCACCCCCTCGCCGATGTGACAGCATGCCTTTTGAACGAGCTCCAAGGTTTGTCTTCGGGCCGGCCTCCACATGCCACCCTATTTTATGTATGAGCATGCGGCGACTCCCTAATAATCTTTAATATGAGCCAACAAGACCTGTGGTTGCCTGTGGATGAAACCACTGCCAACGCTAAACCAAAACAAGACAACTCGCAAACATCCCGTCACACAACTTCCCAGAAATGGGAACTGGGTTTGTTTTGTTGATTTGTGTTGCGTGCTAGTGGTGGTTTTCCTTGTGTCACGGGTTATTTCCACTTACGGCCGGTCATTGCCGGGTGCTGATATGTGAGTTTGTGTTTGTGTATCTGCACAGCATGGATATTAGTATACATACATACATTATACTATATTATATATATATATATATTCACACACACACACACACGCACGGCTGAGCATGCCGACCTATGTAGCTATGTTTGTTCAGGCATCACATTGTACCGTCGTTGCCTAAAGTCCGTCGCGTTTTACTTTCTGCGGGTATGTCTATCTGTCACTTCATCCATCCATCCATCTGTCTGTCCAGGTGTGTAGATCCTCGTACAGGTATGTGCAGACAATGAGTATGTAAGTACATACATTACACATACATCCGAGCATGCTGACATACTCATGAAGTGCTCGGCTTCGTGGTGGCTGTAGCACTTCGCACCAGGATGTTGGAAGTCTTGCTGCTACACACGATTGTAGGAGGGTGCAGGGCTGCATGTTGGGGGTTGTCGGTTGGATTCGAAACTGAATGATCTCTCACGATACGTTGAGCCCGCGTAAACTAGACTGGGTTCTCAGAGTTACCAGGGTTCAGCCGTGTTTTTTTAATCTGGTGTGCAAACCCCAACGCGCGAAGCTGTCAAATGGCCTGGTAAGGACGTGGACAAGTTCGCTCCCTGGTTTGTGCAGTCGCTGCGGGTCACCTTGAACTGTACACTTGGGCTTGGTATTTCCAGCTTTGTTGTCACCGTTAAGTTGTTTAATTATTGGAACTTTGTAGCTGACCATGGTCTAGTCAATGGCTGCCATGTTAGCCCTGAGCGCCAGGAGAGTCTTGTTTGCGCCACAGACGATGGCGGAGATGAGGACGGAGATGATGATTCTGCTGATGACGTCACTGATGGTAAAGATACTGACGACGACGACAGCGAGGACGAGGCTGATGATGGGCGTAGGGGTGGTTGTGACGAGAATACTGTTGGCAAATTGGCAACGTCAGCCAAGTTGGGACGTGAGGGCATCTTTCAAGATGAAGCCGATTGTACGATTGCTGTGCACCCTGGTTGCGCTAATCGCTTTGGTTTCATACCTTGCAGCAGCTGCTGCTTCTGACAGCCAGTTCTCGGGTTTAGACATTCGAGCTATGCGCGGCGAAGAACTGCACAACAGCTTTCGGATGTAGAGTCGCGGCTTGGCAAGAAGATTACATTCCTAGCAAGCCGCCAATACCCTGAACCCCCGAATTGTAAGGAGAAAATTTCGCGAGTGTCATCCGGGCTGCACACGGCACCTATGGACTGTGTAAGATTTGATTTTGTTGGTGTTCATACATGGCCACAACGCCTTGTACTATGCCTTTTCTGTTCATCTCTATAGAGAATACCTCAGAATGCCATAGAATACCGCAGTACAGCAAGGGAGCCTCTTCCAGGCTCTGGCCCCGTGGGCCAAAGCGCCTAAGCCTGCTTAGGCCCCCCTGCTTCGAGCCGGCCTCCGAACTTCCAAGCTCCTTGGCCACTCCCTCGGCCTCTGGCTGTGTACAACAAAGCATGTTAGTGTTCTATACATATATCTACATAGAAACACATATATATATATATATCACCGCTACTATTTACTTGGGCACTTAGGGAGGTTTCGTCAGTATCTGCGCATTCGCCACAGTGCCTTCTTCCTGAAAGGCCAAAGCCCCGGACACCTCAAATGCAAGCAATCAAGCGCGAAACCCTGAAGGCCCTGAAGCTCCTAGACTCCTAGACGCGCAAAGCCCCGCCAGCTGACGGTTCTCTCGCCGTTGCCCTGACATCCGAGCCGAAAGCTGTTTCATGCTGAGGGTTACTCTGAGGTCCTGGCTGTAGAAGCGCTTCTATACAGTCCGAAGCCATCCTGCCCCGGAAAACTTGTTCAGTCTGTTGAAGCTTGGGCTGAGCTGTTCCTTTCCGAGACGGCTGCACTGGCACCTCTGCAGCATCGGGGCAAAGACGACAACTTGGCCTCCGAGGCGCGGCTTGTGCTTCCCGTCGAAGACTGAGCCACTTACCTAGGAACGCAGTGCATACTCCGCAACAATAAAGGCAGCAGCAACCCAGCAGGAGATAGTCGGGTCTAGTTATGAGCGGTCTTGGACGTCTTAAACAGAGTTTCGGTCCAGTCGTGTGAAGGTAGGTCCCAGAGTCCAGCTTATCGTGCGTCTTGCTGTCCTGGTGTGCTGGCTGCCGGTGTCCCTGTGTATCGTTGTCAGACGTTTCGATATCGCACATTGCAACCCAGTCTCCGCATGTCCCGGTGCCACTTTGGTGTTTCCATGTGCCGATGTTCAGGTGTGACCCCTGTCTCGTCACCGTTGTTTCAGCCCGGTGCTTTAGTGTCCCTTCCCGGTGTGGTGATGCCTTGTCTTCAAAAAGGAGACTGTTCCTCTTTGCCGAGTTCTCATTCCATGTGAGAAACAAGTCTATTCGTCTTTAGGTGGAGCAGCGACGTCGAACAAAGGACGTTGTGTGTAGCGGTGTCGTGCAATGAGCCCACTTGCACTTTGCAAGGCGCTCTGATTCGAAAGACTGCATCTCAGTGCAGGTACTCCGGCCTCCATCCCCACCCATGACGCCCCAGAAGTCTGCTCCTCCACGGATGTTCGGAGAGGAGCGCTCGCATGGGGCAAGGCAGGTAGCTTGAGGTAGTTATGTTCTCTGAGTTGCCGCATTTATGAGCGTCAACATGTATGGAGGGTGCCTTGATGCCCGTGGTCGATTACTATGTCTATCAGATCGGTTCGATACAGGTAGCATTAAGGGCAACCCCGAGAACGCTTCCCTGCTTGACCGATAACTACAGTGAAAACCCTGTATAAGAACCCCGTTCGGCGAGAGTAGCCTACCCTAAGGTTCTTAATTTCCAGGTTTTTTAACCACGTTCTTATCAGGAGCGCGATCGACACCTTGACTGAGGGCTCTCAGGAAATTTACTTTCGGATTCTACATTTCCTTGCAGGGGGGCGGTGGGCCATGGGGGTCTGGTCGTATTCAATTCTAAATTTCCACAGCTCTCCGAAAAGGAGGGCATGGCCAGGGGCCTCAGAAAAAGAGAGAGAGGAGGGTGAGAGCCGCCAGGGAAATTTACTTTTGGATTCTAAATTTCCTAATGCCGGGGGTGTGGATCAGAGCCGTGGGCCAGGGACCACAGGGCCAGGAGGAGGCTGGTGTGGAAAATGTATTTTTCAATTCCAAATTTCCACGGTTTGGTGGGCAAGGGCTCCGTCTCGGTGGAATACGCAGTGCAGGCTGGCAGCCCGCAGCGGCATGACATCAGTGCGGGATTGAAACAAAAGCGTTGACGCATGGGCGCATGTGCGGAACCACTGCGCTATGGAGTGCTTTCCTACCGGTGGTCGGTGTCCTCAGAAGGGAGGGGAGGTTTTGTAGGTCGGGAGGAAGGGCTGGAAATTTACTTTTGGATCCTAAATTTCCTGGTGCCGGGGGTGTGGATCGGAGCCTTGGGCCAAGGACCACACGGCCAGGAGGAGGCTGGTGTGGAAAATGTATTTTTCAATTCTAAATTGCCAGAACATGACACCAGGACGGTTCGAAACAGCAGCCTCACGTTGCCAGAACGTATACACAACCATTGCGCTGTGGCATACATGTCGTTAGCCAGCCAATGCTCGGGCAGAGGGTCTCTTGATGTGGAGGGTTGGGAAATTTATTTTTCGATTCTAAATTTCCTTGGGAACGAACCCAAAAAATTAAGAACCTGACCCAAAAAAGTAGTGTACGCTGAAGTTCTTAATGTTGAAGCAACTTGAATCTGGTGAATTCCGCCTGGGCAGGGGTTCAGGTTCTTAAACAGTGGGTTCTTGTACAGTGTTTTCACTGCAGTGCTACGAGAAAGATCATGCAAACGACGGTGATTGTCACATGATATCATACTCCCACCAGCAAATAATTGTGTTTAGAGTAGTTGTGACTGCATGGCGTAAGGTAGTGGTGAGAATCAGAAGAGGGAGAGGCGCAGCATTAAATCACTTGTGGACTAAAGCTTGTTGCAAGGCAACCGGTGGGTGTAAGGGGCTTCCAGACCGCCCCATTTCCAATGTTAACTTCTCCAACTCCGCTTTCCATGTCTTTGTGTGTCGAAGGAGACACCACCTTCCACAAGAGCTGCAGCAGGTCAGGGACGGTTGTGGGATCTTCACTCAGATGTTGATAACAACTCAATCCCATCTTCGTTGCTTGTAACTCGTATCATGCTCATATCGCCTGGGCCCAGCAGAGACGATATGCCACTCGCCAGGCGCAACGTTGAAGCAGCCTGGAACTCAGCAAGATGCGGGCATGCCCAGGAACATAGTCAAACGAGTCTAGATTAGAGAACTGCTCGGCTTGCATCATACCTACTTCGAATCTGAGCCGAACAGTGACACCAATACCCGTGCTGTTACTAAAGTACCATCTCGACAAGCAGCTACGCCCTCTATATACTACTTACTACTTCTGACTACTACTTTGACTCCTCCTACTACTACTGCTACTACGACAACGACGACGACAACGTGACAACGACTACGGCGACTACTACCACTATCTGATTACTACCACCACGACGACTACTGCACCTACCACCACTACCACCTACCACGACCACTACCAATACTCTTACGACCAGCCCAACAACGAGCACTACGACTACTACAACGACTACGACGACTACTACTACAACGACGACGACTGTAATTATTACTTCTTCCTGCTACTGCTACTACAACGAAGACGACTATTATTGCGACTTCTTCCTGCTACTACGACTACTACTACGTACTACTACGACTACGACTACGACTACGACTAGTACTAGTACTAGTACTACTACTACTACTACTACTACTACTACTACTACTACTACTACTACTACTACCAACCACCTCTTTTACATACTCTTGTAACCCACATCCGTTTTACTCGGTATTTACAGCACTTTCGTCATGTAGGAACATCTTATGAAGCTAGAAATTTCACCTGCGAGTTTTCAAACTCCAGCATCCGATTGTGGATTTTTTTGTTGTGGGGGTGCGTGGGTGTGCGGGAAGAATGAAGTCGAGATTGTTACACGGACACCTCGAACAACATCTCCGCAAGAGCCATTTTATTCGATATTTACAATACTTTCGGGATGTCCGCCATCTTATAAAGTTGCCAAGCCTACCTCTGGACTTTTCTACGTTGTCTGTTTGCCTTTGCGAGGGCTTTCAGCGAAAACTCGAAATTGGGTGGGGGAAGGCTTGTTTTACTCGGTCTTTAAAGTAGTTCATCTGGTATGTTAAATCTTCGTCATCATCATCATCAACAACGAGCATCATCACGACTTGAACAAAACAGAGAGGCATGCAGATTGCGATTGCACGTGTCTCGCAGGTTTTTTTGGAGCTGGCAGTCATTGCTTGGCGCGTGTCCCTGCAAGGTTTGGTGGAGCTAGCAGTCAATGGTTGGCGTGGAGGCTTGAGCGAAACGACGTTCCCGCACAAGCCAGCCATCCGCTAGAAGAGCTGTATCGACAAAAACGACGGCGAGACCGTCAAACAGTCAAGTATCTTCGCAAAGTAAATATAGCCATACACTAGACCATCGTGGAGCATCTGGGCTACTGTGAACAGTTCCTGTGGATATTCGCTGGCAACTGTTCGAGGCTGCCTGTACGTTATCAGCCCCCCCCCCCCCACCCCCCCCCACGCATGCAATCGCATCATGAGCATAGCATACAAAGCATCCTGGAGCATCTGGGCTACTAGGAGCAGTTCTTGTGGATATTCGCTGGTAACTGCCTGTACGTTATCAGCCCCCCCCCCACACCCCCCCACGCATGCAATCGCATCATGAGCATAGCATACAAAGCATCCTGGAGCATCTGGGCTACTAGGAGCAGTTCCTGTAAATATTCGCTGGCAACTGTTCGAGGCTGCCTGTACGTTATCAGCCCGCCCCCCCCCACCCCCCACGCATGCAATCGCATCATGAGCATAGCATACAAAGCATCCTGGAGCATCTGGGCTACTAGGAGCAGTTCCTGTCGATATTGGCTGGCAACTGTTCGAGGCTGCCTGTACGTTATCAGCCCCCCCCCCACCCCAAGCAACGCATGTAAAAGGGGGTGGTTGGTAGGGGGGGGCCGCCTACTACTACTACTACTACTACTACTATAACTACTATAACTACTATAACTACTATACTACTACTACTACTACTATACTACTACTACTACTACTACTACTACTATACTACTACTAACTACTACTACTACTACTACTACTACTACTACTACTACTACTACTACTACTACTACTACTACTACTACTACTACTACTACTACTACTACTACTACTACTACTACTACTACTACTACTACTACTACTACTACTACTACTACTACTACTACTACTACTACTACTACTACTACTACTACTACTACTACTACTACTACTACTACTACTACTACTACTACTACTACTACTACTACTACTACTACTACTACTACTACTACTACTACTACTACTACTACTACTACTACTACTAACTATTAACTACTACTACTACTACTACTACTACTACTGCTACTACTACTACTACTACTTACTACTTACTACTTACTACTTACTACTTACTACTTACTACTTACTACTTACTACATACCACTTACTACTTACTACTTACTACTTACTACCTACTACTTACTACTTACTACTTACTACTTACTACTTACTACTTACTACTTACTACTACTACTACTACTACTACTACTACTACTACTACTACTACTACTACTACTACTACTACTACTACTACTACTACTGCCGCTACCGCTACTGCTACTGCTAAAGCTACTATGCTACTATTGCCACTGCTGTTGCTACTGCCACCGCCACTACTGCCACTACTGCAACGCTGTGTGCAAGGACTGGAGGGGACATCTTCCTAAGTGCACGGTGGCGTGGCAATGCGCAGTCATGGTGCTCATGGAACAGGATGTTCGAGGACGACGAGATGTCGGAGTTCTTCCTCTAGCTTCCGACCTCAGGCAAGCAGAGCAAGAGACGAAGGCCCGAAGTGAATGGTGCTCCGCCCAAAGGGCCCCAAGGGGGACGAATCCGTCAGCGGCCGGGGGCTTGACCGCTTCTTCACTGGCTCGCATTGTACTGCGACAAGACGAGGAGATCCGTGTGCTAAAGCAGGATCATTCGATGATATTTGGCTGAAGGCGGGAACGGATTCGGTTATGCCCTTCCTGTACCAAACGGCGATGCTGTTTTGCAAGAAGCAGGCCGAGGCCCCGGAATCGGGTCCTGGCTGGCAGCCCCTGAGGACTGTGATGGCCCTGGCGATGTTCCGAGAGCTGGCCACCAGGTCAGGTTGGATGCGGCTATGAGGGACGAAGCCTTGCGTCAGGCCATTGTGCTCAGACCGGTTGGAGATTTCAGAGGTGGAATCCCACGCTCCGGCATTTGGGGGAGGACAAGGATCGGAAGCCCCTGGGCCACGAGGAGCTCAAGCAGTTGCTGGAGACGATATACATGTCGCTCAAGGCCCAAACGGTCACCCGCTTCAAATGCACTCGCAAACTCATGGAAACCATGGAGTCGCAAGCAGTGTTCAAGAATGGCGTGGAACAAGTTGCTCGAGCTTCAAGGC